TGAGGCATCAGATCAGAGCGTTTGCGAGAAGCACCCACCACTCGTCCGGCACTCACATGTTGGTGACGAAATCCTACACACACGCAGTCATCTCGCCATGTCGACATGCCTCTTGGTAGAGTTAAATATCAGCCTCCGACAACGACGGCCCCACCGACAAATGACAGGGCACCGGTCCACGATAGTTTCCATGCCACGGCCTGTTTCCTGGACGGAGTAGAGCTGGGACAAAACAACCCGGTGGGCGCTAGGCAGAGGCCAGCTCCGACAAGTTTGGGGCTCTGATTCCACTATGATTCCAGTACGTACGCAGTGACACAACTGCTTCAAGACAATGGATTACAGCCTGATAGGTTGGGCAGTGGGCACACGACAATTTGTTCTAGAGGTTTGTCGTCAGTCCACGGCTGTGAATAGTCCGCAGGGCAGCTATTGGCCAAGTCTCGTGATGACGCATTCGGGTTTGGCCTAGAGGAACGGTCCTTGACTCCTTGAAAGCCCTCTCGGTTGATCCGGATAGCGCAACGCTTTGGTGGCAAGCCAATAACTGTCTAGGCCGCTGGCCAAGAACCAATGACGACATGATTGTACCAAGCTGTCCGTACCCTTTGGGGTTCCCTTGAAACCACTGTTGCCAGTTACGCCACAAAAGCAGGGGCAGCTGGCGGCAAGCGAAACGCGTTGCATGTTGCATGTTGCGTACTGGATGCTTCATGTTCAGGGTTTTGCGGCTCGCCTCATCGACAGGATCGGCGGCACGAGAAGGCCTGGAGAATCACTGGACAAGCTCGCCAACTTGCCAACTCGCCACGCGCCAGCCGGCCTGCCGCGTGGCCTCGCCAATGTAGAACCAGAGCAATATGGCTCGATATCGAGTTTCTACTCTGGCGTCCGTTTTGCCTTGTGATATTTGTTTGCAACGCATGGCCACGATGCGGCTTGCTCCGTCCTGCGGCTCGAAACGGGCGGTTGGTGATGCATCACACCACTCGTCCTTGTGTACTAGGCGAAAACCGAACAGCGGCCCCATCAAGCGATGGCGGGTGTTGGCGGGAGTTCACGATCGACCAGACAATTCACGCCGCTGGTCAAAAGTAGATTAGCGAGCCCAGTGCAGCTTTTGTGGTTGGCTGGAGCTGGGGTGAAGCTTGGATAGCTCTGCGGGAGGCAACGCGGCCGGCACAAGCAGCAAAAAAACTGGGTTTTTGGCTCTTCTCGGCGTCAGGCAAGCCCGGTGAGGTCATACATGATGGATTGCTCCCTTGCAACTGCCGATCGCTCCGAGAGCCAGAGGGAGAGTGAGCGAGAGAGAGAGTGACTGTGAGAGAAGACGGACACAAAACGAGTCGCTCGCTGCCATCACCACCGATGACCGATGGGCCGCGACCGAATGCTCCTTCCTGCTTCAGACAAAAAGGGCTGGCTGGCCACTTGCTTCCCAGGACTTCCGAAACCCCCAAAACTCCCAAACGTGTCCTTCTCGATTCCATTCAATAGCAACAACCCCACTGCTACAGCAAGTTCAATTCCTTGTACTCCATATTCTTCAACACAGTACTCCATCATTGTTGTTTTACTTTTCTGCGTCCTCCAACAACCGCGTTTACACTACTGGGGGCACCTCGGAACCGACACAGCCCGCGCCCGCTTGAAGCACCTTTAGGTCTCTGCGCAACCGTTGAAACACCAGCATCATCAGCTTGACGCTCTATTCTACCAGCTCAGCCGTTCTGTCACCATGTACGGCTTCCTAAACGCCTTAGTCCGCACCGTCGGCCTCCTATGGACGCTGCTAATCACGGCGCTCATCGGGAATGTCATTGCCAGTAACAACAATGGCCAAATGGCTACCATCAACTTCACAATGTTTGTCGCTGCTCTCGCGTGGGTTGCCAACTTGTATGGTATTGCTGCAGCCCTCATTTCTAGCCTAAGCATGGTCATTGTTCTCCTCGTCCTCGACGGCCTGGCCACTCTTTTCACCTTTATCAATGCCATCGTCTTGGCCGCCAAGCTGGGCGCGCCCAACTGCGGCAACATCAGAAACGCCGGTCATTCAAGCAGCTGGATCGGCTGGGGTTCCTCCGACAATGAGAAGCGATGCCGTGAGATCCAGGCCAGCACCGCTTTCATGTGGTTCCTCTGGGCATGCTTTTGCGTTTCCCTGTTCCTCAGCGTCAGGGAAGCTCGCGGTGGCGGCGGTCTCCGTGGCTCTGTGCGCTCTGGTAGGCCAAACATGTCCCAGGTTGGCGTATAAAAAGGCTACTTACTTCCCTCCCCCTTGCAAGAAGCCGGAAAATAAAGCGAAAAGCCATCTCTTTCGCCTTGTTTTCTCTCGCCGTGAACCAATTCCCATTTCGACTCTGCTTCGGGCTTGACGTTAACTGCCATTTTTGTTTCAGGCGTATAATATTTATTGGGCTGCTGTGGACAGACAACGGCTGGGATGGTTTCTTTATTCTCCCCTCCTTTTTCTTTTTGTTCATTGTTTCCAAGCAAGAACTCTTACTCGCCTTCACCTGGCAATACTCAGTGGTGGCTGCGGAAGATGGTTTGTACGACACAGATGAAGCGCCAATATATGGACATGGGACCAAAAATGGGATGAGGGAGATGACATAAGCCCATCGTGGCATTCTGGATGGAGAGTGACGGACGTTTTGGAAATTATGGGCTAATGAGGTTGTGTATTTCAAACTTTAATGACGATGGCGCCGTGAGGGCGGTGCCCATGGACCAAACATAGACACTTATGATTGCTGTAGCTACGTATTAATCTATCGCTGTTAATCACTTTGACTGATCATCATGCTCGTAGCGAGGCCTGACGAAAATGGACATGTCCAATTTTATATTGTGTAGTTGAGTGGGCGCATGCACCAAGTCGTGCTGTCCCGGATAATCTATCGAAGCCTTGCTCATAAGTTACCTGAACGCCTGAGCAACGAGTTGATATAATATTATATACAGGGAGCTCGCCCGAGTTACCGATATCTTTTAGCCCGTGTGTCTCGAAATGTGCTGATGTCTTCCGGCATGGCTATATTCCAAAGTCGTTGCAAATGGCATCCCGTCGCCATTTCTATAACGTGGCCGCCGTCTCTGCTACACCCACAGCCTTGAACGCCTTCTTGTTCGTCCACCGTACTTCGACTCCGTGCATCCATTCCATATATCTTCCCCAACCTATTGTCCTTTGGTTAGCGCTTTCCCTACTTGAATATGCACAGCATTACATCACGAGTCGCATGAGAGCCATATGGTGCTAGAAAGAGAGAAGGACTAAAAGAAGAAGGCAAAAATAAGACACAAAGACAAGACATACTCCAATAGGCAAATTTCCTGCCAAAATATTTACCAACCCACGGAACTATCATCATGGTCAACAGCAGCTGGAGCTGCTCAAGGGACCGATCCCATTCGGCCTGGGCGTCGGAGTCAGCGTCGGAATAGACATCGCTTGTGGAAGAAGATGTCGATGGGAGGGAGTCGATGTCGTCTTCGTTTTCGTTATAGGTGTCTTGGAGGTCGATTAGGGATTCGGCGGCGACCATAGTGACTGAGCTGGCGGTGAAATGCTAGGGCAGCAGGACGGAAATGGACAGCCGGATGCGTGACGCGGAGAGGAGGACAATGCTCAGTAGCGTTGTTGCGGCATTTGCATCAAAAGTGCTCTTCGTGACGCAGCACACAATGTCAGGTTTAAATGCCCTCCCTGGCTGCGATTCGACGAACGCTCTTTACGCCGTGAATTGGAGATGCAATACGCACTTTCTCCGATGCTCGCTGTCGCGTCGGCAGGCCACTACCCCAACTATAAACGGCTCCAGCTTGTCATTGGCCCTCCAGTCCTTCTCGCCTGTCGAAGCACGTAAAGTCACGGGCTACTGCACGTGGTATGCCGAGGCCAGTCACAGGCTTGAAGCACCCGCCACTGCCATCACCACGACGAGACTTGCATATCAAGACAAACTCGCTTCTTTTTATCACTCATTTTTGCCGCTTTGCAAGCAATACAGAACGAACCTGAGGCTGCATGCTGAATTTCCTTGCATCTCCTTGGTTTGCGGCTACAAAAACCGATTTGCATTGCCGAGTGAGACTTAGCAACGGCTGACTCACACATCTCACATCTACTGGACCTGACAAAGTAGCAAACGGTCGGGCATATCAAGGTTTTGGGGGCTTTTGGACGTCAGTCATGGAGAACGAAGTGAGTTTCCTGCTCTTGCCCCTTGGTTTGTTTTCTATGTTACATTGCATCTTTTGCTTCCCTCCCTTTTTTGCTTTTCGCTTCGTCCACTGCGTTGGACATCAACGCATCGGCGTCTGAAATGCATGGAGCAGTTGCTTGCCAATGTGTTGGCTGTGTAAGCCTTGGGCCAGTAGCCTGGGCTGTCATGGCACACGGTCATAGACTCATAGCCCCTCCATCAGCAAGCACACCTTCCCAACGCCGGCCGCCAGTGCAGAACAGTGCAAAGAAAGTAAGTCATGCATGTGCACAAATGGCACAAATGCACACGACCCAAAGCACAAAATTCTACCCCACCTTCGTGTCTGACTGGTCAAATCCGCACAACACCATCACCATTTTTGCCATCATCCCTCCCACTTTGTCACATCCCATTTCTATTGGTGTCTGCCGAGGACTTTTCTGGTTCCGTTTGGAGGTCTTTGGCATTTCCCAGGGTTGACTCATCTCTCCATCTAAAACTTTTTTTTTGGCCCATCTTCCACCGATTCGATCACGCGACGACCGAACCGCTGGCGTGCCGGGCATTTCATTATCACTGTTCGTTTTGCCTCCCTACCATAATCTTCGTCTCGTCACCATTTCATCTCTTTCGCGTTGCATAATTCTGACCCAACTTGTCCCGCTATTTGCTAATTGGCGACTGTTTGTTCGCACCTTCCAGGACCAAGTAGAGCGAAAGTCTCGCAAATCCGTCGCCTTCACCGACGAGCAACTCGTAGTTGACGCTGACGGCTCAGTCACGATGGTGACCGCTACCGAGGAGCCCAAGGAGACGGCTCAGTCCCATACGCCTCGTACGCCGCCGTTGTCCGCCGCCCTGGGAGCCTTTACTGACGCCTCAGCTCAAGCCGCTACCGACGATGCCCCCCCACCCGCTGATGGCGGCCTCGACCTGTCCCTCATGAAGAAAAAGAAGAAGAAGAAGGTTAAGAAGGATGCTGGTGAGGAGGATGACTTCGCGGCCAAGCTGAAGCAGCTGGAGGTTAAGGATGCTGAGGATGCTGCTGCCACCGCTGAGGAGGAGTCCGGTAATATGGATGCCGGCACTGGTATCTGGGCTCACGACGAGACCAAGAACATCGGCTACAGCCTGCTCCTCCAGCGATTCTTCCATCAGCTGTCACAGAAGAACCCCGACCACACCCTCACCGGCACCAAGAGTTTCAAGATCCCCCCCCCTCAGTGCATGCGTGAAGGCAACAGGAAAACCGTCTTTGCCAACATTGCTGATATCTGCAAGCGCATGAAGCGAACCGAGGACCATCTTACTGCTTATCTGTTTGCCGAACTGGGAACAAACGGCTCTGTTGACGGAAATAGGAGACTGGTTATCAAGGGTCGTTTCCAGCAAAAACAGATCGAGGGTATGGTCCGAAAATATATCAGTACGTTGTTATCCCTGTGCCTTTGCCATCAGGTTGAGGTGCGCATTCAAAACCTATCTATGTCCAGTCCCACTGACAACCCAACAGTTGAATATGTCACCTGCAAGACCTGCAAATCCCCCGACACCGAGCTCAGCAAAGGCGAAAACCGTCTGTACTTCGTCACCTGCAACAACTGCGGTTCGCGACGTTCCGTCACTGCCATCAAGACAGGTTTCTCCGCCCAGGTCGGTAAGAGAAAGAAGATGCAGGGTTAAGCTTCCACCACCACGATATCACCGTTATTACGTCTCCTGGACTCCCGCGATCTCCATCGTTTGTTGCTGGCTCCTCCCGCCTTTTGTCCAGTTTGTGCTGGGTAATTTCATACACGAAATCATTTTCGAATTAGTTGTGTAAAAAGGACCATGGTGCGACTTTTTGTCTCGCAGAGGAACATTTACTTGGCTGGGCAAGGCTGACGGGGCAACAAAGAAAGGAAAAGTTGTAACCGGGGGAAGGGGATGGAGGGAGTGCTTGGACTAAAAAGTAACATCCCCATACAAGGAACGGACAAGAATGATTGACAGTAGCTACGAAAGCGCCCCGGATAGAGTAGACGGAGTTAACTGGGTTGGGCTATGGTGGTGACGATTGGAGATTGGCGATGGGTTATTATGTATATAACGCTGGAATGATGCATGTTCGACGCCAACCTTCGTTTTGCTTGGTTCCAGGTGAATGCTTCTATTGCTGGACGGCGTTGTCCACACACCAGAAATACCAACGCATTGCTACAAAACCACCGCATAGTTGATTCCTACTTTGGAAATAATCACTGGAAAAGGCCCACAGAGCAGCGAATAATTGGGGTCGCAAATGCGCCAGCACCTGCTATATCAATATCATTGCCCCTACGACATCACTAAACTTAAGAAAACCAAGAAGAGAGTGAGAGGCCGTGTCCATTAGTCCACCCTGCCGCCAGAAAACCTCCCTCGTAAGAAAAGGATGATAAAACTCGCTCGTGTTTGCCACCTTTTATTTGCTCAGGCTACATTTTTATGTAACCCCACTTCATCTTAATGTACATTTGATATCAAGAAATACCGGACAATAGTAAACACAAAAAAATAGACAAAACTTCTGTTCTGTGTATAGAAGGGAAACGCCGCCCAATGGAGGTATTTAAAAAAAGAAAAAAAAAAAAAGATGCCCACGTTCAGTAGTCTGCCTAAGACTGATTGAACAAGGCGGGCGTGGCATCCATCATGTCGTTCTTGTCATTGTTGCCGTACATCAAAGATGAGTGGCCTGCAGAAGCTCCTGTTCGTGTAGCTTCATCGGCGGTATTTTCTACCTCGAGTTGTGCAGCTTCGAATGTTGCTCGAACCCACTCTACCAGGCGGTTCTTTTCAATGTACTGGTTAAGAAGCTTGTCCTCCCAGTTCATTGCATCTAGAAGCTTGGACTGCTCATTCTCGGCAAAGCCCTGGAAGCGGCTGTCTAGTTGGTCTGTGAAGACGCCGAGGGCTTCCTGGGGCGGCATAGGACGGAAGGGATCTCGAGGGTCCTCTGAGGACAAGAGTCAGTAAAGTCTTTGAAACAAAACACACAGTATATCTTCATCAACGGTAAGGCTTACGGTATCGAATGCAGTCCGTCAGCATGGCAAAAAGTTCAGTCTCGGCGAGTCGCTCAACAACCTGGCGGTCGTCCTTTAGTTGAGTATCGTTAATTTTGGCCCAGTCATCTCGGATGAACAACCTTCTCCAAATAAGTCTCTTGGCCTGTTTAATTTCATCAGAGCGGCAACTGATATTAGCCACTTTGAGAGCCAGCCAAAACGGATCGGCGATCTCATCCCTAGCCTCCGGCTTCAAAGACACGAGGGTCAACATGTCAATGAGATACATGGGGCTAAGTGCCTGATGATCCAGCAGTTTCTGCATTCCATCAGAAAACAGCTGAAGGAGGGCCTTTTGCCGTCGAGGAATATTGGTGCTGTGCCCGTCGACAGCAAATGTTAGTGCAGCAGCTTTGTCCAGGGCAGTACGTGTGCATGGAGCGATCTGGTTGTACAGCTGGTCTTGAATCCGTATTACGATGAGCTCATTGTCCACTTGGCGAAGGCGTTCGTCGCGGCGCGCATCATCGGACTTGACCTTGAATGAAGCTTGCTCCTCAGAGTCAGCCTCGGCCTCGGCCAAAAGTGCGAGCTTGCCGAGACTGAGTTCAATTTTCTTCCTCCACACTTGGTCTTCATTCTGGAGAGCCAGGTCAAGCAAAGTGTTGGCAGCGTGATCCACATCCTTTTCCTGTTGAATGTCGTTGATCCAGGAAATTCGAGCAAGCTCTGGGCGGCTGCGGAGGAATCTGGTCTTGAAGCCAAGAGTATCTAGATCGAATTCCAGGACCGACTCAACACCATGTTTGTTGAGCAAATATTGGTAAACGGGGAAGGCAAAAGGCTCTCCGTATCTAGCAAAGTTGTCCTCCAGCTCTGTTGTTTTGGCCTTTCTCAGATTTTTCAGGCTCTGAACCTCTGCAATGGATAGTGAAGGGTCTTCCAAACTGGCTTCCAAAACCTCGATGTGCTCAAGCAGAATCACGGCCAGGGCGTTGAGGCACCCGTGCTTGTCGGCGATCGTAGCAGCTTGTTCCCATTTACCCGCTCGGGCAAGAGCGATCGGCCTGTCATTTCGATAGGTATCGTACGCCTTGGCAAAGTCTTCAACCGTGCTTCTGTCGGTAGAATTGGCCATCCCCCATCTTGCACACTCTAAAACAGATGTAAGCATAGCATCTGTCAAGATTGGCAGCTCGTCAAAAATATGGCGCACAATGACCGGGTCCGGCATGTTTGGCTCGCTTGGTCCGTCTCGCAGGTGCTCATGCTTCTTGAGCCATTGTTCACACAACTCCACCAGGCGTTTAATGCCACTTGCTACGTGCGTGCATCCTGTCCAAGGTTCTGGTAAATTCTTGTAGCCCTCCCGCAGGATGCCCATTCGTAGCTGTTCCTTGCCCAAGCCGTAAAAGGAGAGATGACTTTTGCGGAATTCGTGTGCTCCGGCCTGTGCGGTGACATTTATCTCTACAGCTTCATTGATGAGAATATTCACCTTTACATCATCCAGAAGCTTGTCGGCGTAGAGAACTTTGATAACTTGGTATGCAAAGGTGACAAGTATCTCCAGCCTAAAAATGTCGTTGACAAACCAATGGCGCACTCGGTCGACCTCTCCAATACTGGCAATGGGGTTATTTTTTTGATCTTGATGGATGAATTCGACAATCAAGCCAATAATGCTCTTCTTGTCTTCGGCAGTTCTAGAGGCAGTGAAGGCTTCATGAAGCTTCCAAAGCAAGGCTGCAACGTGCATCTTTTCTGCGTTGTAGAGAAGGTTCCACCGGGTCTGGCGATCGAGGTCAGCGCCAATAGTGTTGAGGTACTGCATGAGTCTTTGTAGAGCGTTGGAACGGGCCACAAGATTGTCCTCCACGGAAGCCGGAAGTGTTGATATGTAGGTGGTCGTAGAGCTGAGAATCTCGTGGCTGACTTGAAGAGCAGCCTCGCCAATCTGCTCGTTAGTAAACTTAATGTCCGGTCGCTTGTTAAATATTAGAGGACTGCCTTTCTTAGACCCGAAGAAAACGGCCTGCTCTATCTTGCTCTTAGCAGACACTTGCGGAGGCTGTTCGCTAGCGAACCTATCCACATCCGTCGTCACGATGCGCACAACTCCTGCGCCGCGCACCATCAGCACCACAGCCGGATTCTTGATCTTGTTGCGCAGAGATCGGCTCTCTTCATGGCTGGACGACGGTGCCGGTTCTTCAAACCCGGAGCCAACAATTTCATGAATGTTGTCTACCTGAAAGTCTACCACATCCTCAAACGAAGGTGTCAAGATGTGATTATCCGAACGTAACTGTGAGTCTGGAGATTCGGGAGGCGTGGCGACAGATGCAATTACTGCAGCACGGTCGAACACTGCAAATGCTACCAGAGCAGGTCGAGGCAGGTACACACGAGGTCTTACATTCTGACTCGGATCCGAAGCGGTGATGGCTGTAGAATATGAAGTAATTGGGCGAATCATTCCCACCTGGCAATCCTTGGGAGTCATGATGACCTCCAGCAGTGCATATCTCGAAACACTGCGTTTAGTAAGGCACACCAATACCAAAAGATGCTGCACTAATGGATTATCAGTTGCCATTGCGTCGCTCAGCCTGCTGAGTTCCAGATATTTGGGGTCGAGGCCCTTGGGCACATAGGTAAAGTCCAAGGCTTCGAACGAGTCGGCTGGGAAATCTTTGCTGAAGGGGTCATTTTCCTGAAGTGCGTGTACCAGTCGATCTCGCACGTCTGCTTCTCCAATTGGCTCATTATGGCCCCCTCGGTGAATCCTCCAGGCTTGGATTTTGCCCTTGCTTGTGAGCGCAACGATGTTTCGTTCCCCAACGCGCGAAGATCTGTCGGCACGGACAGCGGCAATGTCGCCCCGAAGTGATAGATGAGAAAAGGCATGCCGTATGCTTCCAAAGATGCCACCTGAAGTCGGCGAAAGGTTCGTTCGCAAGAATTGCACGGAGATGGCGGGCCGTCCGTGGCTGTCTCGAAGACTCATGTACGCCAATCTCCCGGTATTAAAGGTTAGGACAAAGCCGGCGGATTCAGCATTGGTTACTGCGACGACCTTTTCGCCTGAGGACATGCCCGAGATGACGTGTTCAACTCCAGATCGGTCTTTCTTGATAAAGGCAAAAGTTGCAGCGCTTGATATCGATTCCCAAAAGACCACCTTGCCGCTTCCAGACATGACAATGACGAGACCCGGCTCTGTCGAAGATGCGGACGGCGAGACCAGACACCCTACGGGTAGAGGATCGCTTGGTTTTGATGCGGATGGCAAGGTGAATGTGAAGGTTTCGGGAGACTGTGACGTCGAGTTGTAAGCCCATACAATGGCATGGGTAGCGGTCAGACTCAAGGCGTATCCGGCGTTGGAAAATATGTCAGCTTGTTGGCTCCCTACATGAACAGAAGAAGTGGTTGGTTAGTGATGAAATGACAAGAATGGGTGTGAGAAAATCGCGAACCTGACCAGTCGGAGCGAATTCGATCGGGTAAAGCGGGCAGCTTCGAAACTGTGAATGCGCTCGTGCTATTCTGGATTTCAAAATGGTTAGTATCTTGGGCAGAAGGATTACTATTGGGATTTGGAGTCATGCGCAACGCATGGTTGCGTATAACGTACGAGCACGAGACTTCCGTCACCCTTGTTTGCGGCACGATCTCCATGTTTTGACTTTTTCGCTCGCACGTTCGGCTCTTTGCGAGGAGTGTGATGAAAATTCTCCGAGGAAGAATCCTGTTTCGAGTCCAAGGTGGCGACCTTGTCGGCCTTGGTGACCTCGACCATTTCCGGTTGTGCCTCGGGATTAGTAAAAGTTTGTTCGGTAAGAGGCAGGCGTTGGCGCTTAGCCTTGGGTTGCTGAACAAGACTATCGGTACTCTTGGGTCGCTGACGACGACGAGATCTCGTCGCCGTGGCTGGACCGCCCTCTGCGACTGATGGATTGAACATGTCGATGGTTGAGAGAGTGTTGCAGTCCGAGGCGGTCGCGAGAGAGGCCTAGGCCTGGCGTGGCAGCGTTTGGAGTGGTGATGCAAATGCGGGCAACGAGATGAGATGGTAGACCAGAATCAGATGGACATGTCGAGATGGCGGGCGAAGAAGGCACCACGGGTCGGATGGAGTGCCTGGAGGAGGAAGAGGGACAGGAAGAAGAAGATGAGGATGATGAGGATGATGTAGGGCAGCAGCGCAGGCAAAGGCAAGATTTGGTGGAGAGAGCGAAGAAACAATGCCGCGTCGAAGGCCAGCTATTGGTTCACAGCGTCGCAAGAAAAAAACAAATGGAGCTCCCAAGTGCAAAAGCTGGCGGTCAATGAGCAATTGAAGCTTAGAGCCCCAGCGGGCCAGTGAGCCAATGGGCCAGTGACCCAGTGAACCCAGTGAGCCCAGTGAGCCACCGAGCCGGTAGACGGGCTGGTGGGCCGGTGGACGTGGCAGCGCACACACGCAGCACTTGGCAGGTGCAAGCCACTCGACACACGTGCAATCTCGATGCTCCCAGCCAACGGCCTCCATGTCGTGCCTCAGCTTCTGCCGATGTCTTGATCTGGTACAACGGTGAACCACCCACCACCCAATGCGGTGGCAGAGTACGGAGTAGCCATACAGCATTTGATGATTTGCCCACCATATGGTGTCCAGTCAAAGGTTCGTGGTCAGTTACGGTGCTTATTTTGAACCAGGCCACACTCGCCGAGACTGACCATGTGCGGTAGACTAATATCTCGGCATTGCTGCTATTTCTACATGCGCCGAGGTTGGCAAGGAGCGCAGCATCTCGTCTACGCCGCCACTAACAGTAATCTTTGACTTTTCAATTCCTATAAAAAAGGAAATGGAAACAGTTATTTGACACAGCATTTGCACTGGCCGGACCTCAACCTCCAGACCTCACCCTGACGAGTGAAACTCACGGCTGAGCTCATGTGAAAATCGCCATGAACACTGCTCGCAAAGGACAAAAACTCACGACAAATCCACCGACACGATGCGGCGATTCTCAACAGCAGTAACCATTACTGATCCTTTGGTAAAATACCAGACGCTTGTCAAAACCGGCGTATATTCCCCGGACCCCGCCCAACACAGATTGGCACGCCACTTGAGGGACACTTATCTTCGCATCAAAGACTATTCACCCCAAATAGAATACCGCCAGAGGCTGACACAAGTTGCGCGCCTCACGGAGTCCACGATCCCAAACGATGAAGAAGCAGGCAATATTCTCGCCCTGCGAAGCCACAGCATATGGCGTAATCCCCTGTTCAAACACCTCATCCCTAGCGCCGCCGCAGACCGCGATAGCCTCGCTCTCACTCGAGTGCTAAGTAACCACGAAACCGCCATAGAGATAGATTCTCCCAGGGGTTTATTCCTATCAGGAGAGGTGGGCACAGGTAAATCCATGCTCCTCGACCTATTGGCGGACGGATTACCCACGGAATGCAAGCGAAGATGGCACTTTAACACGTTCATGCTATACGTGTTTGCGCAGCTTGACAAGTACAGAGAATCACAAATCAACTCTTCCGGCGCTGATTCAGAGTTCTCATTGGTCTGGATGGCAAAAAAGCTCGTCGACGAGTCTCCCATCCTTTTCCTGGACGAATTTCAGTTGCCCGACCGGGCAGCAAGCAAGATCCTCAGCCACCTTTTCATAGCATTCTTCCAACTAGGCGGCGTCCTTGTCGCGTCGTCAAATCGAATGCCGGAAGAATTGCAAAAAGCAACAGGCATCGATTATGCCCCTGCCTCTTCAAAGGGATTATTGGGCAAGATTTTCGGCGGAAGCACGCGATATAAAGGGGAGCTTTACGGCCAGAGCAGCGACTTTGCCAACTTTCTTGACGTTTTAAAAGCCAGGTGTGATTTCTGGCAGATGGAGGGAGCCACAGATTGGAGAAGAAGAGAGAGCACCGACTGTTCAAAAACATCCATCGTCACCGCTTCAGCCGGCACAGGACTGGCTGTCGCAACAGACGATGACAATACCACGAGCCACCAAGATTCAACCACGCGCAACATACCATACAACTACTTCTTATATGACAGCCAGAATGCCCATAAATTCGAAAAACGGGTCGAAGAAACCATTGGGTGGAACAGTCCGGCACAGGTGCCATGGAAGCCATCCACCTTAATCGTATACGGTCGCCAGGTTCTCACCCCCAAACACCACGACGGCACTGTACGCTGGATCTTTAACCACCTCGTCGAATCATTCGGTCCAGCAGACTACATTACAATGGCCTCATCGTACCACACCTTCATTATCGACCAAGTCCCCGTCATGACAGTGCTCCAAAAAAACGAAGCCCGCCGATTCATCACACTCCTTGACGCCCTTTACGAAGCCCGCTGCAAACTGATCATCCGGGCAGAGAGCGCGCCCGATGACCTCTTCTTCCCGCAAAACAAACCCCTCGCAAGCCCCAGATCCAAGGACAGCCAACCCGAGGGTGACGACGACGCAACCTACTCTGAGACCATTGCCGAAGTCTACCAGGACCAAATGGCCCCCTTCCGACCCAACGTGTCGTACTACGACACCAAAGCATCCACGTCAAAATATGACCCTGACCAAGACTCCGACTTTGGTCAGCAAAAGCAGAGTGTCAATTTCGGCAACACCGGTGCGTTCACGGGTGAAGATGAGCGATTCGCTTACAAACGCGCCATCTCACGACTGTGGGAGCTGTGCAGCGCGACATGGCACGCCAGGACAGGAGCTTGGTGGCAGCCGCTCCCCCTCGAGGCTAGGCACTGGGAAGGCGGCGTAGCCTCGCAACCAGTCGAAACGAGCGTCTCATCAAAGACGGCAGATACAGGCGAAAGAATGGGCGACAGCGTAGAAATAGACGTGGCGGGGCTGTCCAAGTGGAAAGTAGACGATTTACGCAAACAATGCGACAGCGAGAAATAAAAAGACGACGCCAGTAGATGCACATGTAGTAAAAGATAGCCACTGAAACTTGCAAAAGACGTGTGAAAACGCAATGCACAAGCTCCCAGATATCATGAGAGAAAAAAATAAACAGGTCCCTAAACCAGAAACGCCACGCCAAACATGCCAGCTTTTGTGTCTTCTCCCCCCGTCGTCAAATGCGCCCGCCCGCCTCACAAACTGGTCACACCAGGCGTCCACGCCTCGCCAATCCTCCTCATATCGCTGTCGAACCTCCTGCTCACGATCCTCTTGCCGCCGGAACCCCCCAACGGCGCATGCTCGTCCGGCTCGTAAAAGGGGTTCTGCAGCAGCCGCACGTAGGCGCTTTGCATGGCGCGAAACACGGGCTTCAGCTCCGTCTCACGCAGGCCCGCGGCGCCCTGCCTCCCGCCCGCGGCGTCTATCCTCCTGCCGCGCATGTCCACGACGCACACCATCCGCACGCCGGTGTTGGTCTCGTACCCGTACGCGGCGAGCCGGTCGTCGATGGCGTGGAGCAGGCCGACGTCGCCGGAGAGCCCGACCCCCGACGCGGCGTTTGCCTTGGCGCGGAGCTCGAAGACGTCGATTGTCGAGGAGAGGAGGAGCGAGAACTGGAGCGGGCTGCGGATCGGCGTGAACGTATTGGTTGCGGCATCGTGCGAGGGGAAGATGGAGATGTGCAGCGGGTTGTTCTGTTGCGCGAGTTTAAGCATACTGGAAGGGGGCGAAGGAGGAGGGGGAACGCACGTTGCGGCCAATGACGCCCAGGCAGGCGATTGAGGGGATTGCGGTCGTCATGATTGTCAGTTTGCAAGTTGAGGTTGGGTGACGGGAAGGCTTCGAGGTCCTAGGTTATGGGGCGGTGGCGTGTGGGGATCGGAGAAACGACATGCGCCAGCGAGCTCAAAAGTCCAACACGGCGTATTTCATACTTGAGTAGCTTGAGCTGTACATACCTAGGTATGCAATACATTAGACACTCAAAAGTGTGTTTCATTGTGCAGGATATCAAGGAAGCCCATTTCCAAATCGTCGAATAACCCACCCCCACTAGTGCTATTACTACCAGGAGCACGTCTACACACCCCACACAGCTTGCCAGCTTGCCAGCTTATACACCAGTTGACACATGGCTACTCTCTCACCTGCCGCCTACTCATCAGCAACACCAGCCGTCTCCTCCAACCCCCTCAACACCTCCTCGATCTCACTTGGATCCGTAATGGCCCAGACTCCTCCCCCCTTGACCGAGTCCTTCCCCCTCATGCCGACCTCCTTCCCCACCAGATTCCGGCCAACCTTGCCGGGCCCTATCCCAACCCACCGACGAACCTTCTCCTGCTGGTCCAAATACCGGATACTGTCCCACCAGCGAACCGTCTCCAGGCACCCCCTCGCCAGCAGCTCCTTCAGCTGCTCTTTGCTCCGAAACGGCCTCGCCGTGACGTTACTTATGCACGGTATGTCGCCCGGAAACGTGATGATGTCCTCCCCCTCCCGTCCCGGAACGCGACTCTTATGCCCCAGCAGCGACTGCATCACGGCGACGGCCGGCTTCATAATGGGGCTGTGAAACGGGCTGTCGCTGTGCAGGCGCACCGCCCGCGGGTCGTGGCCGAGAAACTGCCGCACGTGAGCCATGAGCGTCGTGATGCGCTCAATGTTGCCGCTCAGCACGATCTGGTTCCTGCTGTTGATGTTGGCGATGAGCACCTGCTCAATGGGGGGTACGTGCTCGCTGCTCTCGCCCTTGCTCCCCGCGCTCGAGTGGCCCACGAAGTCGTGGATGGCGGCAATCAGGCCCCGCAGGTACTCGGGCTCCGTGATGATGGCCACCATGCCGTACTCCCCGCCGTACTCCTGTATGGCCTTCTTGGTCGCGTCCGACATGGCCGCCGCGCGCCGCTTGACGAGGTACAGGCTGTCCTGGAAGGTGATGTATCCGCCGGCGACGAGGGCGGCAAACTCGCCGAGGGAGTGGCCGAGGGTGATGTCGAAGTTGTCGGCGACCTTGAAGCTG